GAGAGAGAGGACTGTATGCGAGAGGAAAGAGAAGCATGAGAGAAGAGAGAGAGAGAGAGATGAATTGAGAGGAGAGAGGGAGAGAGAAGAGGAGAGAGAAGAGGAGGAAAAAGAAAAAGAAGAGAGAGGAGAGGAGGATGAGAAGACTGGATGAAGGAGACGAGATGAGAGAGAGGAGAGGAGGGCGAGAGAGAGACAGGCGAGAGAGAGAGAGAGAGCAGAGAGAAGATCCGCCAAAGGCGCGATGACGAGAAGACGAGAGACAAGAGAAACAGAGAGAGAGAGAGCACGAGAAGGGACTGAGAGGAGAGAAGAGAGAGAGAGAGAGAGAGAGAGAGAGAGAGGAGGACGAGAGAGAGAGGGGGGAGAGAGAGGAGAAAGAGAGAGAGAGAGATAGAGAGAGAGAGAGAAGAGAGAGATGAGAGAGAGAGCGAGCAGAGTAGAGAGAGAGACAGGAGAGAGAGAGAGGAGGAGAGGGAGAGGGCGAGAGGAGAGAGAAGAGGAGATGGAGAGACGGAAGAGAGAGGGAGGCGGAGATGAGACCGAGGGAGAGAGAGGAGAGAGAGAGAGAGAGACGGAGAAGCGATCGAGAGAGAGAGAGAGAAGAGACCCTCCTGAGGAGAGGCGGATCGAGATGAGAGGAGAAGGAGAGAAGAGAGAGAAGAGAGAGAGAGAGACTGACGAGAGAGAGAAGACGGAGAAGTAGGGGAGGGAGAGCAGAGAGAGAGAGAGAGAGGAGGGGCAGGGAGAGAGGAGATGACCGAGAGAGAGAGACGAGATATGAGAGAGTGAAGAGAGAGAGAGAGAGAGAGGAGGGAGAGGAGAGAGAGAGCGCGCGCAGACAGCGCTTAAGACAGCTAGGGCCTTATAAACATATCATTAAATGGCCGACCCGTGGCATCCCGCAAGCTGTAATAGATCCGTGAATGTAAGGAAGAGGTTGCAAGGTTGCCAACACATGAGCGTCACAGTCCGGTAAGTGTCAGCCACGCAGCTGCTAATGACAGGGTCAGGCTGACCGGGGCGTAAAGACCCCACCACACAATTATCAATACCTGCAGAAGCACGCAGCATCCACGACCGAATGATTCGTAAACCTCGAACCAGTTTCGACATAGGAGGAGTGGCGAGATGTCTTTCTGCTTCATCTGCGAGCGAAGCAACATCCCGCATTCCTTGCACGCAATGGTGTGAAATATATTTGCATGTAAACGATGCGATCTCGAACAGGAACGCGGCTGGTTTATGTCCGCGATCGCGTATTTAATGTCGGAGCTACAGACGGCGGATAAAACGCATTAATTATCGAACGTTAATTAATTATAATTGAGTATTAGCCAAAAAGCGACCATCTTCAATCACGCAGCACTGACACAAGGTGTTGTAGGACTGCGTAGCTTCATATAAATGTCACCAGTCGTCACACATCGGTGGTGCCGTCATGACAGTGATGCCAATTTCATTACGTGCCGCCCCTCACGCGACCATTATTAATGTAGGAATCGTTACTTAATTATACGCCCCCTTAGAGCACTCGCATCAACACAGCCTGTCCAGAGGGTTATCATTCCGATATATATCTACATTCAATAAAGGGTCGCCCGAGATACACTACCGCAAAGATTCACCCCCGTCTACTATTTTCTTTTCTGGAGAGTTAAAAAGAAGCCCTGCAACCGTCCCATTTTATAAATCACGAGTTAGTAGCGTTTAACCGATGCTCGCGCTGTCGATTGCTCGATGCCAGCTGGTGTGCGTTTGCATGCGAGAGCATTCGATAAATACATGACAGACGTATTAACCACGTTGAGAGCCATAAATATCTACGTACAACCTCCTAACGACGGGCAGTTGTCCGCATCCACTGAATGACCACTTCAGCATCAGTAAACGGTGACCTAGCTCAACCAATATAGCCCTTCGCTCTGCCACCCTAGCTCAACATGCAGTCTATACAAACACAGAAATACGACAAACATTCATGAAGCCCTGAGAGATTTGTTATAACACCATATTATCGAATCGATAAATGCATCCGCCGTCACTCAGTCTCTTTTTCGACATATCGCACATTTCTGGCTTTTCTAGGAGTAGTTAAAATCATGAGTGACAAACTGCTGTGACAATTACATGGATGACAACCGAAAAGAATGAGCTTCATTCACGTTGGAATAGTTGCCACTATTATATATATACCTGTGAGATTGGCAGGATATGACAGACGGGCGCTTACGTAATTACACACGTATATATACGGCTGTTCCTTCACCTATTACATAACCCTATGAAGCTAAAGACAACTATAGTTAGGGATAGCTGATAGCTATCCTGCGCAGCAGGAAGGCATCGTCCTACAATGCTGACGACAGGCTTGTGACACATGTATGCTTGACACGGCTGCTCGTAAAAACCTGTCAGTGTTGTGACATCACAAGTCTCACAGTATTTCGCTTGGCGGTTCTGCATGGCACTCACGCGCGCGACTGCCATGGCGAAAAGCACATCGTTTTATATGCAAAATAGTCTTCACCCACAATTACAACACGAGTATAACCGAGAATACCCATCTGCCATGTATGTTATCCTGTTTATCCTCTCAGCATTTCCTACGGCACTTTCTAACACGTGTGCACACGTTCTCTGTGAACACACAGACAGGATGGTCTGACATTTTTCTAAATGCTTGTATATATACATAATATCAAGAGCGTATAAACTTACTATAAAGAAGGTTCTTTATACGCTCTTGATAATATATGATCAATTCATGCTTCACTAATAACTGCTTACTGTATTTAAATAAGAAAAATAGATATATATATAGGGTATGCATGAGGTACACTCCTACCATCAAATATATAAAGGCTATTGTACAAGTTTGCAAATATATAGCTTGCAGTTGCAGTGACACCTAATTGCATCCCAGTGGCATTTTAGCCAAACAAAAATCCTCCTCCCCTCTCTCTCTTCTTCACACTCTGTCCTTGCTTTGACGCATGCACACGCTCCTAAAAACACATCCTACGGATTTAAGTGACTATAATGTTGCGATATTGATGTTATGTCCACTTTGATCAGCTGCCGGGTGGTAAAACAGATGGGGTTCCTTACAGGGGCTCTGTACAGAACAGCATGGCATACAGCACATTCAATAGACAGATCAATTATTATGAAGGTGATATATCCGTGACCTGTCTCACTGCTGTATAATCGGAAGTCCTGCCCTAGAAAATCACCTTGAAGTATGCCATATCTATGAGCATTAAACTGAAAAGATGTGTGTGTATGGCACATAAATCTGTTTGTACATCCGTTCACGGCAAAACTGCGAAAAAAAGGCCATCGTCCTAACATTTTGCTGACCCGAAGAAAGAAGATTGGCACTTCATGAAACAGCTAACCCAACACTAGATCATCATTTCACAAACCATGATGAGCAAGGGCTACTATGGTGTCAGTGTTCTGAATCAGTGATTACATGTGTTTGCTTTGAATTATTAATACATAAAGTGTCAAACTATTAATTATACATTATAGAGCAGGCTTATTTAATTGCTCGTTAGATGGCGCGCAGGTCAATACAAATGGCCTCACTCTCGTTGTGAATTTGTTAGCATTGTCCCGCGTCCAATGCGTCAGAGACAAATGGTTATTCCTATCTACATTAGGCCTACAAAGTGATACCTACGATTTACTTAGCCCCAAGTCCTTACATGTATGTGATTTTCAACGAGGTAGATTCAGGAACACATCAGTAGATATGGTCTAACATTTCATGCCTATCTTGAATCACTGTTACTAATCTGTACACTAAAAGATAATGTACACTATACGTGTAATGTTGTACGTTTTATACACCATTAAAAAATATTAATACAAATGGGCAATTAATGCAAATATTAGTAGTATTACTTTTATGTGTAACCTTTGCACTGTAGAAAATCAGGTTCATTTGCTTCCTTATAACGCTTTGCTTCCTCATTCACACGTCATATTACGCCACGTTTATTCTGTGTATAATGACAAACCGCGGCACAGCCAGTGGAGTAGCCAGGATTAAGTCTAAAGGGGGGCGAGTGCATGTTGTTGGCATGTTTTATCGACTTGAAACAGTCCTGCTGGTTTAAATAAGGTAGCCTTCTAAATCTTAGGGGGGGGGGCGACCACCCCCATCGCCCCCCCCCGGCTATGCCACGGGGCACAGCAACATCATTCCTTCTACCAGCGCACATAACGTTCACGTATCTCTCAGTCACAGCTCAAACAATTATGCACTCATCAGCATTAGCAATAATCACCACACCAATTATAAATTTATAATTAATTGCAATTGATAGCACCCAAAATTTTTTACCTGCGTTTGAAATAGGCGCACACCAACCCAACGTTCTGCAAATGACTTTAACGAAGGCAATACGTTTTAGGCATACGTTTTAGGTTTAGGTTTAATACGAAGGCGAAGTGTTTTAGGGTTAGGGTTAGGGTTAGGGTTTTTGCATCATTCCTTGATATACGGAAAGTCTGTGCATCAGTTGATGATACACAGAAATCTGTGCATCACTTCGTGATACCTAAGGTGCCTAAAGTGGATTTGCACCGGCAATACTCCCATTAGATCGCAAATAACATTAACAATTAAGCAGAAATTACAGTAATACAGAGAACAAAACTGGCAAGAAAAAAAGTATTACACAAACCTGCACCGGCTGCAAAATCTTCCCTCACGTACATGCACATCAGTGTGTAATGCGCTATTTCGAAGTACGGGTACATGGGAAGATCTTTCACCTGCTTGGCGACTTCTATTAACATTTCTTGATCCATCTTTGCGTGTGTATGTGTTCCAAACAGCCAAGCAAATCACACAGCAGAAACAACAGCAACGAAAGAAACACGGCAGAATGACCGACTGGCGAGCCTACAGTAAACTCCCAGCCAGGCCTCTGACTCATATGTCGACAGAGCATGCGTACTAATGAACTTCTTATTTCGCCATCTATTGACGCCATAGAGAAATAAAATTAGCAGTGACTGCTTATTTATTTTCCTCACACCATTATTTGGTCTAAGTTACCATACCGTTTACGTTTATAATGTAACAAATGTAGTGAGCATTGTCACTGAGTCAGTATAAACATGTGCATTACTGGTCCAGTATCCTGTGTACAGTGTAGCAACTTACGAGGGGTTCGTTTGCTCTGCAACCTCCTTATTTTGACTTTGAGCTAGAAGTTTGAGTTCGGAGTTTGACCTAGGAGCGCATATATTGATACATTATGTCACATGTTTTACACATTGTTACAAAATGTTACATTATTATGTTCTCAGCAAAGGAGGTGACCATTTCAAAACACCTTCATTGTGCACCGTCATGTTCTTTATTAAATTATTTTAGTAAATACGTGTATTGCTTGTCATATCACGAAAATTCTGACTAAACATACACATTTATCAAGAGTTTAATAAGGGAAGATAAGAAAATCTACAGATTTTAAATAGGTTTAGAAGATTAGGTTGAATTATAAACATTTAAACGTTCATTGGGCGTTGTATAGTCAAGCAAGTGTCTCGTATGTATATGTACTCCTGTGTTCGGCCAGTCCTTTTTAACTTTAGACAATAGTCTTTATGAGGTTATCTACCAACTTATCTTATAATCTGTAATATAAACAAATATAATACTTATATAAGCTATCTTATTACTAATCTTATTTACAAATTCAGCCGCTAGATGCCACTAAATATTAGAATGTAGCAGTAAAAAGATAAACAAGCATAATTTTTAGACAGCGCGCTCTACGCATGCGTAGTTTAAGAAGTTACAGCTTATTTTACATTCAACTTATTGATGACGACATTCGTGAGAATTGAAGAGTTTTGAGTTGATTTACCGAAGTATATTTTCCTTTTTCGAAATATATTTACCCGATTAATACTTTAGTGTCTAATAGTTTCGCCAATTTTGAACAAAATATATACAGATAATTAGTTGAAGTCAAGCTCACTTTATATTATTCGTAACTATTATTATTTTTATTTATTACGTGTGCGTGTTGTGTGATGGGCACTGATGCCGGTGCCGGTGGCATTGTCATGACAATGATACAACTACAACTTAGTTAGGAGATTAATGCATGGTTATGTGTTATGGTAGCTCGAAGAAACGGTATTGCTAGGGTTAGAATACCGACGTAGTTGACGTTATATTGACGTTAGTCACACAGCGTGGTTGGGTTAGTGTTACGACGTGGATGCTCGTCCGAGCATCGGACACCTGTTCGTATGCGCTATTCGTCCGAGCAGTTGTTGCGCATGCGCTGTTGCATGTGTTGCATGCCGCAGGAGCACGGCACGAGTGCCGTAGGCAGGAAGTGTGAAAGGGGGGTCTGGGGGGCCAATTTTAAAATCTAGATGCTCTAAAATGCTATATACCCATTAGATTTTTGATTATTTTATGCCCTTTAGGCTGGGGGCTTGTAGCGTTTTGCTACGGCAGCCCTACGGCTGTGACGCCCCTGCATACATGCGTTGCGTATGTGGTTATACACCATAGATAGTGTTTGGTACTATCACTAGCCTATATATATACAAAACCGAGCGTATAATAATAGAACCGAGCCGGTTTATAGTTAGTGTTAGGGTTAGGGCTGTGGTTAGGATTAGGGAGTAGGCGCCTCCCTAGACTAGCATTATATTACATTTATGTAATACAACATGAACAGCGCATGCGCAACAACTGCTCGGACGAATAGCGCATACGAACAGACCTGTGTCCGATGCTCGGACGAATATCCACGTCCTTAGTGTTATGGTAGCTACAAGTTGCTTTCTTGCTTCTCACTGTGCGCCAAGAAAGTCACAAGCGACCGAAACGACCAAACCTTGTAGCTAACAAAGCACTGCAACACATTCTATACGTCTATAGAGTATATTTACAATTATTACTTAGTAGTAGTACCAATATTATTGGTTCAGACTGCTTCAGAAGGCAGCAGTGTTGCAGTCTTAGGTCACGTGTCAGCAGTCATTTTTGAGATTTAATGAGAGAGAAATTCAAGGCAAGGCGATCACTTCTATTTGAATTGGCCGCCTTGTTCAAATTTGCGCACGCATCCTATATATATACTAGTAGTAGTACTACTACTACTACTACTTCTACTTCTACTTCTACTTCTACTTCTACTTCTATACTGGACAGTTCGTAAGGAATGAATGTCCAGGGCTATACTAGTCCGGGGTTCTCCCCAGGAATTTTAGAAGGCATGTGGGGCAACTGGGAAATTTATCCACAGTTATCTGCATGCTGTAAGCACATGGAGATGTAGTATATACCAAGCTAAGAACAGACGTCATGATTGTGCTGGGGTTGTTAAAAGTAAACAGCTAGAAGTTAAGGTATGTCGGGTGGAGGATTTATGGAGTGTGGCAAATTAGGTTCAGGTATGAGAGCATCTTAGATGTAATACAAGTTAAAAGGTCTGGTAAGAACCCCGGCAGTATGAATATGTATGAGACTACCATGTACCCAGCCCTACTAGGTTCTACTAATGTTACACGTCTTTCCCGCAACGTAGTCGGAAGCGAGAAGGTAATTTGTGGCTACCATATACCCAGCAACATCTATGGCCTAACTACCTGGTAACTACCATTATCAGGTACACAACTATTGAGTAAATCGAAAGTTGCCTGTATGCGAGTGTGATATTTTACGTCCAACGTAAGAGTATAAGTCGCGTGCGTCATATTGCTTTACGTTTTTCTGTTGGGTCCAAACAGCAGGATGGTGAAGTTGACACCAGAGCTAATTCTGCAAGCGCCGCAATATATAAACCCTGTTCGGGATCGGGAACTTGACTTGCGAGGTAAGATGGAAGAACTTTATAGTTGATTGTGATTAGCTCAATTGTTATATATTGAGAAATTGTGAACTGCTTTTTATCAATTATGTATTGCACGTTGTATTAATTGCCTGTTCTGAGAATGGCTTAATGTCCACGGGTTGTATTGTTTATTGCCATGTATTTATTTATAAATGTGTAAATATCTATAGTTTCAACTAACGTGCAAAACATTTCTATTTTGTGTTTATAGGCTATAAGATCCCAGTAATAGAGAATCTCGGAGCAACATTGGTGAGTATTCACTCCTAACCAATTTATAAGCTGCAAGCCTACTGAAAAATACATTGAACATAATTTTATGCATTTTAGGTTGCTGCATTTTGTAAATATATTATGCAGGGTTCGACACTAACCCACGTTCGACCGACCTAGTCGGGTAAATGCTTGGTCCGGTTGCATACAACCAGAGTGCTAGTAGCCTGACTGGTCGTGTTAGAATTGGTCATATATATTGCACTGAAAGGTCACCTCTGGCTAGACTGGTTCGCGGCCGCACTGTTTGTCGCAGAGCGTGTACATTGTCTAGCAGAGCGTGAGGCCTGATACCAGTCTACCCTTCAACCAAAACAATAACGTGGCTTGCTGCCAGCCGCAGTAGACGATCGATAAACCGTGCGCTCGTGTATGCCCGTGGTAGAATACGAATGATGCACTTGAACTCAGCCCACGCGCGATTTAAAGTGCGGGAAACAGCATCTATGAATTCATACGATGACACACTCTTATCTAAATAAAGTTTTTCATAACAATGGTCTGGGTCTGGGCTAGTGAAAGTTAGGTCAGGGCTAGTGGTTTTCCTCAGTTACTAGCCCGATGGTCTAGTGAAATAAAGAGTTAATGTTGAACCTTGTTATGGCAAATGAGTGTGTATATTATTTTTGCTGACTAGCTTTTTAAATATTGCATTGTATGCTAATGCTAAATTGACTACTTGTTTAGGATCAATTTGACACACTAGACTTCTCTGACAATGATGTACGCAAGTTGGATGGGTTTCCACAGCTGAAAAGAGTTAAATGTCTTCTGTTTAACAACAACAGAATATGGTAAGTTTAACTGGGTATGGCAGGTTTCTAAATTAACAGTAGTCTGTTAGTCTGAAACTACCAGATTTACCTACAGATGAGTAGATTGCAGTAACAACTAGTTCGGTAGACTATCTGACTGCTAGCATCAACTTAACTTGGCACTGTCAGTTTTTGCTTAACATGGACGAATAAACTTATAATTAAAATTATTTATATTTCCTTGCAAGTTGTTTAAATAAATTAAACCACCAATTATCAAATATTCTTCAAACCAGTATTCGTTATCACGCGCGTTGATAAAAAAACATTGATAGAGCCTTGTTTGTTGCTTATGCTATAAAGGTAATGAACTATTATATTTCTGAACTACCAGATTTTCTCAGGGACAACCTACGGATGAATACATATGAATTAACACCGTTTTATGACCTGACAGAAATACATGCAAGAGGGTGCAAATACAGAGATTGCTGAAAGCAAATGTGTATTTTCTCATACGTAGGGGTGTGTATGTTTCTAATTAGTTGCTGTGTTTTATAGTCGTATAGCAGATGGGCTTGATGAGCAACTTCCGAGTCTGGAAACTCTTGTTTTCACCAACAACTTGATACAAGAGCTGGGCGATATCGATCCACTAAGTTCAATAAAAACCCTTCGGTCTATCAGGTACGAGATTTTTGTAAAAATAATATACTATATGTACTGGTCAATATTTTATTATGCAACAACTTATTCAGCCAAAGGCTACCAACCAAAGACATTTCCTATTTATTAATATAATTAAAATACTGTCATGGCCTCATGGCCATGCCCAAAATTGTTGATTTTGAAACTTGATGTTAAATAACATGACTAAATGTCTGAAAACAGAGCTATGAATATTTTTCTGCTTTTTTATGCAAGAAGTATAATTACGAAGTGGCCACATGTTATGTGTGTGAACGAATACCATTATGGTAATGTATTTTCAGCCAAATGGATAGCTGTAAAACAAGTTTTATTTCAGGACTCCAGCGAATGGAACTGTAACGTTGTTTGTAACATATCATTTACAGATGTTACAGAACTTTTGCCAACAAAGATAACACATGATTTATATGGAAAAGAGGAATTGTGCTGCAAAATCTGTATCTAAATTATTTTTGTTATGTTTCAGTTTTTTGAGAAACCCCATAACAACAAAGAAGCACTACAGACTTTATGTTATTTACAAAATTCCGCATCTACGACTGCTTGACTTCCAGAAAATAAAATTGCGGGTTTGTACGATGAAGCATAAACAAATTATCGCAATCTTGTTCTCATAAAAAAGATATATAGATTGGTATCTTTATATTACCCAGTGTGATTATTTACAGAAGAGAGACTATAAGAAATAATATCACTTTACATTGCTGTGTTACTATCTACATTTTATTAACTTATCTTGTAGTGAATTCGGATGTCGTGCATAATGTTGTGCATTATTCAAACGATCATTTCAGTAGTACATTTTTGTGCTTATTTGGTGTTCTATCATGGTTATTGCAACATGCTGATCATTTGTCAGAATAATGTTACTCCCACACTGTAAACCTTGTATTGCACTTTGTGTGTAGGAGAAGGAGGAGGCTGCACAGCTTTTCAGGGGTAGAAGAGGCCTGGAGCTGGTAAAGAGCATCGTCAAAAAGTCCAAGACCTTTGTTGCGGGAGAGGCATTGGAAGGAATACCATCCACAGGGCCCACTCCAGAAGAGGTAGCAGCAATTAAGGTAAGGAACTAAACAACCTGACAACATTCTAAGGTTGTCTTGATTTGTGGATAGATAAAGTAATTTGAAGTGCAAACTTGTATAGCGAAGATGGATACACAATGTAGACACAAGCATAGCCTCGCGCACAAAGACAAAGGAACGTCCACACACGCCTAAGTGCTTGTGCATGCCACCATGACCAACAACAGACCCCCCCCCCGAACGTTTAAGCCAATGCACACATCCCGGGCACAACCCGTACACGAGGTGCTAATTAAACTACCACTAAAGAAGCGTTGCATCACAACTATTACAAAAGTGACAAAGTCTTGATGTGGCTCGTAGAAGAATTGTGTAACATAAAAAACGTGTTATGTATATCTCTACATCACAATAAACCTAACCTTGCATAGACTAAGTGACTATTTATATGCTTGGCTAGCTGTACGAGCAGTACAGTTGTGAAATAACTTGTAATTTCGTTTGTGCTCCATATCAGGAAGCAATAGCCAATGCTACCACCCTGGAGGAAGTAGAAAGACTCAGCCAGATGCTCAAATCTGGACAGATTCCCGGGAAAGGCAAGCTACACCCTGAAAAGAGTAAGTACTAGTAGCATGTGTGGTGAGTCTGTGAATATGGAATAATGGAAAATTATGCATGCAGTACAGCCTATTATTTGCAATGGTGGCAAGTTACAAGACCTACAATAAACATGTTTTAGAGGCACCTATATTGTTGTCTTTTACCGTTGATGTGGTGCATTAAAGCTTCTTTTCATACTTATTATTATAATGTTATTATTAGATTATGCTTATATTATTATTATACTCATTCTTATTAACCTATATGTCGGATCAGGAAAATAATAATTAATTATCATTCTTTCTGCTTGTTGCATTTGCTATTCAATAAATATCAATTGTCACTCGTATAATTTTGCTTCAACAGATGGGAAGCCTGTCCAAGAAGAAGAGGAAGATGACATGGAAACGTGATTTGGGTTCGAAAACCTCACTGGAGTTCATCTAAACTTGCACATACATTCATATATAAAATGTGAAATATTATTTTACAAAATTATTTTGATCTGAAGTAATCATCAAAAGCTGTTGGCAGGGAACCTAGAGTTTCAGTCTTACTGTCCATACCTTGCTTTTTTTAATTGTACAGACATCTAAGCAACCTGTGTACTGCTATGACCTTGGTCAACCTTTACCTTTTTCAACCATGAGTTTGGTTTCATGTATATACTGTCTTCACATACTGGATTCAATAATATTAGGCTCTTTTTAGTGTATGGACATGTAATCAAAGTTAGTTCGATTTGGTGTAATGCCATTACCAATTCAACCTGAGTTTAGTTTAACTAGGTTATGTTTGACTGTATACCTACCTAATAACCCTGCAACAGTGAGTATTATTTGGTTAATAATTTTATGTGTAAGTGAAATTTTCTAAGCTGTACATGGATTATGATAAGAGCATATACTACTATAAAAAATGATAACATTTTCTGTGGCCAACTTATCTCAAAATAATGAATGTAACGTTGCTATTTCAGTGGTCGTCCGTTAGTATAAAATTATGGAGTCATTTGCTCTCACAATCTGTGTCGTGTGCATATTGTGTGTCTGTCAAATGCGTTTCTGTTTACAAAATGAGACGATCTACAAGGCCTAGGGCTGAGAAGCGATTATGCAGCTTATTGGTCTTGTAAGTCGTTTTATTTTTCTACCTGTTGGATTTTTTGTACAAAAATGTTGGAGTATCAAGACAAATAAATTCTGTGTATGCTCATTGTTGTCTTACTAATTTGGCACTCTAACTACCTAGTTGCCCGCACATACGAATGCACGCACACCATTATATCTTTAAATTCATTCCGGTATGTCTCTGCATTGGATCTAATCTGGGGAAGAGGCCGATTTCTTTTCGGGGCCAGGATAAGGCATTTTAGGCCATTACTAAACGAGTAAATTTTTATAGTTTTATGAACATGATGAATGGGATTTGTCGTGAGAATAACCTATCCCACGTGAGTGGGAAATCAATCACACTTTTTCGCTCGCTCTTGTGGTACCATAGAAATAATATAGGTACTAGTAAGTGCCTCTATGTATTTCTATGCGTGAGACCAGAGCACGTATATCATAATATACGTGCTCTGGTGAGCCCATAGAAGTCAACTATATTATTTCTATGGGTGAGAAAAGTTTCAACCAAGAGAACGTCAAAAAAATAATTTGTAAATTTACACGTCTGATGGCAGCAGAATCGCGCGTTAACGCCATGTTCGTTCGTTTGCCTTTTCTCTGAATAGGTTACGAACGTGTCTCTTTATACTTTATGACCTGCGTTAAATAAGTTTATTTGAGTGCTAGTTGCTAAACAACGTCCACTGTCAGTGGCTAAGGTATGTTTATCAGGTTTTTTTATTACTTTTAGTATTTAATTACGTACAATATGTACGACTGTCGGAAATGTAATGGTCGACTCGCGGCGGATTTCCTTTCGCTGTTCTATCGTGGCATTTTATTGTCCTTTTTTTGTACAACAGTATATTGATTATTGTCGTGAATGTATTATCCTACACAAGCGTTAATAGTATTATTTAAGTTTTTGTGTAGTTTGTGATACCGTATGTGGTGTTGCTTTGTTATTACTCACGGTAGTGTACAGTGACAGCAGTACAGTGTTTCCTGTTCTGTCTGGTAATCCAGTAGCGGGGACAAAAAAAGGGAAGGTGTAAAACACTGGCGGGTAGATACTAGTACTACCAATGTGTAAGTAAAGAGTTTGGCTCGGTGTAATGCTTTAAAGCTAACTAGTGAATTAGAGCCAAACTTCTCAACTGTACAGCTAGTTAGTTGATAGATTGTGACCAACTCCAAGTGGCTGAAGTGCTGATGCATGTAGATACTGACTGAATTATTTTAAATGGGATGTGTATTCTGACCCTTACCCATTTCTGTTTTTAGTGCCTGACTTCAACTGGCTAAAATGGCTTTTCCAAGGCCACCGATGGGTATGCCACCTATGGGAATGCCAATGCATGGACAGTTTATTGGAATGCCAGGTGTTACAGGTATAGATATTTTCAGTTGTTATTGCAGCCTCCTGTTTCAAATAATTATTGACATGGTGTAACCAGTTAATATTGATTTCCACTCATCCATAGTTGTTATCTAATATGTAAAACTCCGTGGAAGTGAGAAGCCCCCCAGTCTGACCATTAGGGTCATGTCTAGATCATAGCCAGGATATGCACAGTATCTGCGCATACGTCAAAATTATACCATGACGTCATCATGCCAAGCCTTTTCATTGGTCCAGCATTCCACGTAGTACTCCTGCCTGTGTAGTATGGTATCTGCTGTACAATGTAGCATAAATGTCGCTGTGGTCAGTGGATAGATTTCTGCCCTTATTACACTTCACGGTTTTTGTGGTTTCGAGTCCAGTAGCCAGTACCCCAAAACGCATGGCGCGGACTTCCGCGCCTTAATTGCTACAGCGCGATGTGCCAGCGACTGCATGGAAATATCGTGAGTGCGTAATAACAGGAGTTCTCCCAGTGATTGAAATTGCAACGGGGGGAGCGCGAAGGGGCAAAGAGAACGGGGGAAGGGAGGGAGGGGGAAACTAGGGGGCGTCCGGGGGGGTTTATTTTTACCGTACGACTAATTAATGCCGTTACAAATCAGCCACCACACCATAGACGGTATTTGGGGTTCTCTATATATAAGATAGCCGAGTCGGTGTACAGTTAGGACAGGATTAACTGTGCATTAGTCAGGTTAACTTGCTGTACTGTCTTCAGTACATGCGTGTACGGTAAAAATACACGCGTCGTTATGTCCTGGTCGAACGCGAATTCTGACGATCGATTCCCGTGTGGCAAACTTTTATTGTGTAGTGAATTTCAAATAGGGGGGAGTTTCCCAAACGGGGCGCAAACATTCAAACAGGGGGTGTTTCCCAAACGGAGGCTGCGCGCGCCCCCGTTGCCGCAACGTAGGGGAAACCTGCGTATTCAGTTAACCTAGTTAAATCTGTCTGCTTACTGTTGTGTTCCGGCGATGTAAGTCGACCAAGTGTGCTCATAGGTTTCGCCAACGACCGAATGTCTAAACTACATGGAGACGTTGCTGTGTGGAGAATTGATGAAACCACAAAAGTTCTCTATGGCAGGATATATATATATTGTGTTATAGCTGCACATATATAACGTATATATATATATACGTATATATATATATATATATAATAATAATAATACGGAGACTGTGTGTACAAATCGTTTTAGCAGCAATCTGAATGGCTTTCTATTAATTTCCTTACCGTTATTCTTCTTCTTCCAAGTTATTATGATCTCCTCTGCCTTCTTGTATAAATTTTCAGCATAAATTGTTACAAAAATCATGCTAAAATTAAGTTAAAAAGAATTTCTGGCAGCAAGTCAACCTGGCCGCCATATAAAACGTTTGTGAATCGCGTAGACTAGTACAATGCTGGGCAATGGCAATAATAGTTGTATCCCCCGCGACGAAGTCGGCTTGGATACTATGGTTTCATGTCTCCCCAGCCGCCGTCGCTGCCGCTCGGTCCGCCGCAGAGAATTTCCCTTCCGCTCTATAACTCGACCCCTAATTGACCTAGCGTGACCAAACTTGGTATACTTACACATCTTGGGGAGAAGGTGTGCAGAGTGCCAAAACCAGGTCACTGCGACCTTTATTTGACCTTTACCTTGACCTTGATCATATTTCCCTTCCGCTCTCTAACTCAGGGTTCGTAGCGGGTCTTCCAAAGTCTTATAAGTACTTATTTTTCCAAAAATAAAATAAGCGTCCTTATTAGTACTTATTTTTTGTGAAATCTTAGAAAAGTACTTAATAGTCCTTATTTTTTGCAGTATTGTTGTATATATAATACTGAAAAATTAAATCTGCTGTGCAATTGTGTATATAAATATTATTAGTGTACTTTAATAGTCAGTGATCTATCAGAAATCGTGTAAAAAAAGTCTTATTTTAGCCTCCAGAAAGGGTCTTATAAGTCGTTATTTCAACATGGGTCTTACTACTATGAACCCTGTAACTCGGCCCCTAATTGACCTAGCGCTACCAAACTTGGTATACTTACACATCTTGGGGAGAAGGTGAGCAGCGTACCAAAACCAGGTCACTGCGACCTTTACTTTGACCTTGATCATATTTCCCTTCTGCTCTCTAACTCGGCCCCTGATTGACCTAGCGCTACCAAACTGCAAAACCAGGTCACTGCAACCTTTATTTGACCTTGACCTTGACCTTTATCATATTTTCTTTCCGCTCTATAACTCGGCCCCTAATTGACCTAGCGCGACCAAACTTTGTATACTTACACATCTTGGGGAGAACACAGGGTATACATGTAGTTGGCGACAACTGCTCTTTCTAGTTAAAAAAATATTTTTGATGTATGGACATTTAAACCGGAATATTTTATATTATTTATGATTGACTTCGCCAATTGATTGGTTTTTTTTTATTGATCTAAAATGGTGGAATAAAATATTTTTGCCAATAATGGCGTTTGACTCTATATGGTGCTGCGAGAAAACATCATGGTGGACTGTTTTTGAATTTGGGAAATATTTTGCTCTTCTAAACCAAAATGCACCCATTAATCAAGCATTTTGAGAATTATTATGCACTTGATATGATGAAGGGAGTTAGAAAGTACGTAGCTATGTTTTTCTTTTGTCAATTTATGTTCGGTTTTCCCTGTTGAAAGGCAAAGTTTAGTTCACCGGGAGATTGGCGGCCATCGTTAATATGCACGGCGAATCGAGCGCTTAGACTATGTAAAATTTGTATTGAATTTGAATTTTGTTTAAAAATCAATGCTGTTAGAGCCCCCCTATGGGGCTTATAAAAGAACATATTAGGGCCCAGATTTCACCACAGTGCAATGGGTAAGTGCCAGATATCTATAGGAGTAAACCCTCATGTCTGTCCTACCTGGTTTTGGGCCATGCCTCTCATAAATTCAGTGTTGAGCATTAAGATGTAAAAAATTTGTTTAAAGGTAAGTGGGTTTGATAACGCTTAGGATACACTCACGCGCTTGCATGGATTGGGTATTGCTGTAATGAAGAGTGAACGTTTATTGACCAATGAATCTAATCAATCACATGCTTTATTTAAAAACAAGATGTATCTCTATCTAAGACACCAGTTTAGGCCAAACAAAAAAATAGGTGTGTTTCCGGTCGACCAACCGTCCCTAGATTATTAGGGCCGACCCTAAACTTTTTTTCCCAAAATAAAAATAAAAAGTTTTTTAATTTGAAATTTGACAGACAAAACTTGAGATTTTTTACTACAAACACGTTCTGGACTTGCTTACTAACTTATCCCTACCTATACACCACTTTATAGCCAAAAAAAAAAAAAACTACTTTTGTTTTCGATGCAATAGGAAACACACCTATTTTTTTGTTTGGCCTTATACACAATTGATTGTATATACTATACATCTATATGCATATATCTGTTTATTTTTAGCTGGCATGATGCCTATGATGATGGGAGGACCTGTAAGTAATCATTCATCATATATTATATTAATTAGAGAATAGTATTGTTAGCTAATATGTGAAATCCATGTTGTAGTTCAGGTTGAAGCTCATTAATCAGCAAATCATGGGAGTAGACCTGTTCTAGATTTGTGAAAGCTCAAATCCGGGGTTAAAAAATAAAAATAATAAAGCACATACTGCATTATTACCAATACTGATACAACTTCTGTGAGCATAAACTGGGCTGACAGGCTAGACCTGTTTATGACAAAGTGTTAGTATTGTGACATAGGTTTACTGTACTGTGAGGCACAAACATAAGTTGATTAATAAATAAAAACTAACAACTACCAGATTTAAAGTGTCGTTCCAAGCTGCCAGATTACGTACTAGTGAGGTTCAACCTGTACTATCTATAGAGTATTGCCATGTTACCCTCATATATGAGATAATATCGTATGCTATGTTACTAGTCTGCGTTGTTTGCTACTGAACATAGCACCAACTAGCACTGCATGTCTGCATGCATGAGCTGAGATTTAGAGATTTATCCTAACATTTTGGCATTTCTAAAAGGACATGTATATTCGAACGTGGTCGTGCCCGCAAAGTTGTAATTAATTTTCGTCTTCTAATGCATCGTTAGATGATGACAGGAGTTCAGATTCCAATGAATGATTCTGCAAATAGGGGAAGGAACAGACGACAGCAGATTAATGTAACTAACAAGGTAATCCGTCGCACTTACTGTCATATGTATAATTATTAACTACATTTATGTGAGCATTTTAAAATGATTTAATGGTTGTTGGTGAAACCAATGGGCTATGTACGCAAATTATTGAAACCGTTGGAATTGGTTGTTTATTTCGAAATGCATACTGGAAGTTCTCATGTGAGAATTAGCTTTATGGGGTGGGGTTTCTTTTCCATAACAGAATGTTTATTGTGATCAAATTAAGTTTTTTACATGATTTTTTATTGGTTTGCAATTAAGAGGCAACCTAATGTGTTTGTAAGTCCTGCTTTATTGTTCGGGGTTAACATCATTGGGGCGTAATCAAATAGCTGAATGACAATGTAATTAGCTTCCAACGTTTATTTTTTTCGATCAAGTTTCTGTTTTAGATGTAGTTATACATCAGTCATTGGTTTCGGTGATACAAATACTAGAATCACTCTGTGCACAATCTATTGGGATCCTACTTTCTATGGGTATGAACCTAACTACCGTTCAACATTACTAGAGTAGGGTTTTTTCAAATCTGTACTGTTTAAGCATCATTAACAGGTTTCAACACCTTTCTCTTCTTTCATTCACAGGACAACAAAAAGCCATCAGAGGACTTTCCAGTGACCACAGTGTTTGTGGGAAATATTTGTGAGCGAGGTCCAGACACTATGATTCGCACAATGTTGGGCAAGTGCGGAAATGTGGTAAGCTGGAAGCGAGTGCAGGGAGCATCTGGGAAACTGCAAGGTAGGTGGTCACACAGGAGGCCCACTTTTTTGTAATTAATTTATCGAGTACGTATGACTACCTGTGATATAAAAGATAAAACTGGGTCATGTTCATAGATTTGACTTTCCCTTTTTTCTCCAAAACCCTTATGTCCAATACAACATTTTAGTACGAATTCTATAGAATCAAACTACATGTTAAGAGGTTACAGCCAAGACAACTAAAAACCTTTCCTTTTTGCAGCATTTTATAGTGAGTTATGATGATATCGGGCAAGACCTTCGAATTCTGTTTCAATGTGAAATGCTATGATCTGTATAAAACTATTGCGTTAGGAAGAATTGTTGGTTATTGCCAATAATAATATGCCAAATTGCCACGAAAATTCCATATGTGACATTCAGTTTAATTTTGCAGCATTTGGTTTTTGTGAGTATGACAACCCGGAGTCAACATTGCGGGCTATCAGGCTCTTGCATGATCTGCAAATAGCTGACAGGAAACTAGTTGTAAGTAGTTAGTAAACGTGAGGCATGTGGAGTTATCAATGAGCATCTTGATCATAGTGGAAGTTATCAACCATGTAATTTTTCAAACTGATGATCACGCTGTTTGAGCTTGTATTTAGTTCATGAGCATCTGTTTACTAAGACCTTGTAAGAAATTGTCATGTTTTGCAGAGTTTGTGAGATCGCCAAATTCGATTGGTAAAAACCAGATGAATATTATTCACTGTGGCAATTCCCTGTTCAGAACTCCTTCAAAACATGGCGAATCATTTCCGTCGCGTCGTGTAGCGTTACTAGCACACAAGTGATGCGTTCCAGCTTCTAATGTCCGTGTCAATCCGCAGGTGAAAGTTGATGCTAAGACGAAGGCGTTGCTGGATGAATACAAGGTTAAGAAGCGAGAGATGCAGGGCAAGCGGCCGCTGGCAGACGACGCCGCCGATGACGACGAGCTTGACGCAGACGCGATCAAACACGACGAGATCGTGAAAGACACGCTGAGGGCCGTGCTGAAGGAGAATGCACACGAGCTGTCAAAGGTACCCAACGACGGTGAGTGCCACCTCTGACTGTAACATGTATTTGTCTCTTTGTGCGATGTGTCTACGCTGTATGAGTTATTAAAGATTATTCCGGTTACTACAACAAGATTGGCTTTCTATCATCATCCTTGTTACAGTGCCACCTCTGACTGTGTGTGTGTGTGTGTGCGTGCGTGCGTGCGTGTGTGCGAAGTGTTGCGAGCATGTGATTTGTCGTTGGTTTACCACTGCTTGGATGCTACTGCGATGGTCGCCTTGGCCACTTACGTGTGGTGAGTCTTTTCGTGAAAATTTCGTGAAAATGTTTAGTCGCTTCGAAGAGTGCAGCCCAGCAAGTGTGCTCATTGTCGTGCGATTGATTCAGAGTCACAGGACCAGCAGAAGAAGGATCGAAGACAGCGTGATAGGGAGAGGAAGGACGATGAGAAAGGAGACAGAAAAGGGGTGAGTTAGTGATCAGGAAGTGATGATTGATATGCTATCGGAGGCTTGCAGTAGCCACAGCATCATCTCACACTGTTAATAGACAGGGCGATTTAATAACATTACAAGCCATCATTAAAGTAAAAGACTTCCAATTAAAATTCTGAAACTGTTTTTAATTTATAGTTGATATGTATTTGTACACCCGTGTCCATATTTAGATGAATAAAATGCACACCCTGTCGTAATTCATTCAGACTTTTCTAAGAGAGTTTCACGGTGAATGGACGGACACTAATCACACGCTCGGTGTGTGGAAATGTTCGTACCACTCCACATTATACTCTGCCAGTGTGGCTGTGTATAGCCTTCACACCTACGCATACGTGGAACGCAACCTGCTCCAGTAACCTAAGGGCATAATTGGAAATGGCCACAGTCTAGCTTAGAAGTTACTTGCCACAAAACTGGCTGTCCGATAGCTTCAGAGTCTGAGATAGATCATCTCTTAATCGGTGAAATTTAAAATTGCATATTTTTATTCTAGTGTGAATGTTGGCTATTAGTCTATAAAATATAATTTTTTATTTATTATGAAAGCAAAATCTGTTAGCTGCACTTGCTGTTCATACTGGCTGCAAACGCCCGGCTTTACTGCTCACCTCACAAGCTTCTGTAAATCAAAGTAGTGTCATAGCTGTGCAGACATTGAGAGTGCTGAACGAACTACCAAATTTTACTTAACCCCAAGCAGGTAATAGTAGCCAGTTGCAGTGCGCTGTGGAGATGTATCGCGTCTAGGGTTATTTGTGAAATGCACAGAATGCACGTTTACCTCAACTCATCGCATGTTTTTCCCCCACGTAGACAACTTTGGACGACGTAGAGATGGAAGAGGATAAGAAGAATCTGATTCACCGAGAGATTCGTAGTTTCCGCAGCACGTACAAGGTATGCACTCTTTAATCTGCTTCTGTTATTGGAACACGTGGCTTTCTGTGCAGGGATTCAGGAAGCCTCGTGTGTTTAGCCGGTGCGCAGGTACATTATGCACAGGCGTGTTGTGAAATTGCTTCCGCAGGATGCTATTTTGCGGAAAGGAGATGGTTTGAATAGGTCTGAGAGCCAGGTGCACGCTTCGCTTGACGATGTTTGTGAGAATCGCTGTAATGATTACAAGAAACACCGTAAGATCCACAGAATATAATCGCAGTACATGTTTCTCAGAACACAACAGATGATAATGTCAGTGTAGGCTACAGTCGTCATTTACACGTGAAATAGACGTCACATTGTTACCTAACCTTCCTACAGTAATATGTCTGCAATATTAAATGCACACAGTGATCGGATGATAGGTTGGAGAATTAGAACCTGAAGATTTACAGTAACATCAGTTAGCTTAATGAAAGAGCTGTGTCCTGTTCATTCAGGTGCACTTACATGCTTGTCATACATTATACATCATATGGGGGAGATAAATTACAACATAATATTCCTTGACAATTAATAAATATCATTCAAAGCCATTGCAATACAATAAGGAATGTCAAATGTTAGACAAAATGCAAATCATCACCGACTATGTACTACAACCTACTTGCTGTACTTGCTGTACTTGCTGTATTTTTTTCGAAGCAACATTAACAAATGCTAGTGCTGTATATTTCACTTCCTATTGGCCGTAATACACTTGTTGCGCCATTTGTGCTCATCTCTAAGCCAATTAGAAATTGGACTGACGTATAATTGGAGCATGAGCACGATGACAGTAACTGTGTCACACAAGCTCATTCTAACTGACTGAGTGCTGGGATGTCTACATGCAGTCACTAGCGTTGCTCGTGTGTTTTTGTATCGGTGCTGCTGTAGGGGCGATCACCGTTTAACAAGTTGCCTTTCCTTGTGTTTGAAACGATATAGTGTAAACGTTCACCAGGCCTGAGCAGGATCTCTTGAGTGTGATGTGTTATAATATGCATAGGAGAAGGTAAGTTGACATCTCTTCCTTTGATTGTAATAATAACAGAAGACGTGGTCCACACCAGATTACCCAGGCCGTGTGTGAGAACACACCTTGATGTATATGTGAACATGATGAGAGGTGTGTGCAGACTATACTAGCGAATTCTCTTGCTGTCACTAGAAAAGAATTTAACCTGAGAAATGTCCGGCTGGAGCCAATTTTGTAGTCAGATGCAGCTTGTAGAATCGCATGATCGTACGTGCGTGCGTGCGTGCATCCGTCCGTGCGTCCGTCAACAGTTGGGCACAAATCTAAACATCTCGACGTACGGATTCGAAAGTCGGGACGTGGGGGGGGGAATCCAAAAACGAGTTGGGATGGCGAAGATGGGGGTCAAAAGTCAAATGTCAAGAGGTGAAAAAGAAGGGGGACCATTCCCTCCTTAACTTAAGGTATAGGAGGAAATGCAGAATTGCGGCACAAATCTAAAATGCCGACCTAGGCTCGTGATAGTCGGTGTATAGACATCATGGTAGGAAAGCCATCACTGTGCCGAAATTGGAGTACCAGGTCAAAGTTCAATGGACACAGGGCAGATTTTAAACATTTTCTGAGGACATGGTCTGACGGAGCGATTGAAAAACTTTTTTGTTTCAGCAGTGACCAACCATTTTTATGGCTTTATTGAAAGCACCATGAAATGTACTTTCCGCTGACATGCGAAGAGTAAGTGTCTGATAACCTTTTGACCCTCAAGAGGAAGGTTAAACATTGATTTGTGTCACAAATCAGCCATAAAACAGGAGTTTCAGGCACTCATTGTATCAGCCAATGGGATTTGGGAGGTATGCAGAATGCAGAAGGTTGCTGAAATGATGTGTACGCAACTGCGTATCTACATAATTGCGCCTAACAAAGGTGTCACTACGCGCGACTTAAATGTTACGTTTATAACCGTAGTAACAGACCTCAGATGAGCCCTGACGCTCTGCGGCTCTTGTTAATAGATTAGTACATAGATTGGAGATGTGCTGTTTTAGGTATTCAGCAATAAGGCTAGGGTGATTTTGAGTATCTTTCCTGGAAGTACACGGGGCTTCTATATAGAAGTTCTTAGAGTGTTCTCTCTAAGTTTCTGGGACTTCTATATAGAACATGTATATGAGATTTGGTGCCCCGAATAAAGCCAGAGAGAGGTGGAGTGGGAGTGATTTTTAGTGAGACTTATTCGTGTCTGAGAAGTGAGAGGAAGATAAGCAGCAACCCTTCACACAGTATTGGTACATAGTGCATGCGTTTCATATTGTGATACCTGCATGGCTTCAAATCTTATGTCATACGGATTAGTTTGACTACGGGCAGCTTTAGTAGTTTGATGATGGAAATTTATTCTGTAAAAGAAGCGTCTTACTCTTCCAACATCAGTGCAACGTTCAACTACAGGCACTTGAATGCATTTTACATGTATATACAATTCGACTGTAATCCATACAAGAATTAGGGTTGTTAACTCATGTTCTACCATTTTAATACGTGAAAGTTGTTAGTGGTGTTGTCTGTCGGGTGTGACGTAGGATTTTGAGGATGGGGTGTGAATGTGTGTAAGGTGATGCAGCCTTTTAGAAAGGGCGTAGTTTGTTCTTTCTTCGAAGGAGTTCGCCTTCAAGAATAACCGCTTCAGAACGACGGGCCGCGGCAGTCTTTCGACCACTTACAGGTTCATCATCAGCTCGGGTTTCAAGCTATAGACAGGCTCAGTGACTATAAACGCAAGATTGATACACATGTAATATTACTCTCAATGAAATCAGAATGTTGTCGCTACTCTTGGCCATTACTGGGAGTATCTGTGAGCGACTACAGATGTTCCTGAAACTAAACACGCTATAAGTGACAAATTCTATTAAAATCTGAAGTGGCGTATGGTAACAGCTGATTTATTGAGCAATAGTGTTCACATGTCAAAATGTATGGATATCCAATGCCTTCACAACACCCTGGTCCGGGTTCGGCAGAGAGCTTCTGTTCTATAGAGTTCCTGCAGTTCCTGGTTGCAACCCAGAGATATCTGTGAAGTCATGCTTGCTTGTGCACTATGTGTGAGACCCGTAGAGATAGCACTGCCTGGGGAAATGTTGGTAAGACCTGTCTGTTTTGCTAATATCCGGACAGGCTTGCTAGTTTCCCCGCATAGCTACATGTTCCTTACGGGTACAACACTTCCCAGCTAGTGATGGCAGTTGGTTGGATGTGCCTGGGTGCAGATCTAGCCAGGCCCTTCCACCTGCCAGCTAGCTGTGGTCAAACATGATAAGGAAGATCTTGAACAAGGCAACAATAGAGAGCTACGTATATGAGAGACTTCATCGCTTTCAGTTCAGGGGAAGGGCAGGCAGGCTGGCACTGTACATGTATGTATATGAGACAACTATTTGTGGTGTTCTGCCGTGAGAAATGAATTTATTGTGTTGAACTCGTATGTTCAGGAGACCATATGTATCTGTGTATGTAGATGTATAATATATATATATATATATATACATATATATATATATATGTATGTATCAGAAGTAGATAATATGGTATGTATATATATATAATATTACTAAATATTATACTTGCTGGAAATTGCTAGTGTATTTCGGCATGTCTGATATCTGTCAAATAAAGTGCAGAGTGTTGCAGCTTCCTTCTTAATTTCACTGCGAAGGTCTAATCCGCGGATGATTTAATCATGCTCATCATTCCTTCTCCTTCATTGAGAAACTCAGCCAGACTCCATTAGCAGTGTGGGATGTACACGTGGCTGGGTGTATGAGTGAGCGGGTATGTCGGCAGGCAGCTCTGCCAGCATAAACTACAGGAGGAGGAACGAAATTGCTGCGGCCATCGACTTCGAAGTTCATTGTTCCCTTTCTCAGTAGGAAATTGCAATTTCGACGTTGATTGTATTGCCGATCACGTGAACATTTCTGCGCAGATTGTGACAGCTTGAGTAACCAACATCATACGAATCTGGAAATGTTTTTTCCTCACATCTTGTTTTCCCGTCGGTACATTCGTGGTAATGACAAAATTATGGAAAAGGTCCAAGTTTACGTTACCTGCCGATGTTCACGTGATTGTATGCAAATTCGATCGTATGGATATGGGTTTGCTTGCACTGTGCTCAGCAACTAACGATGTGGGCTGACTGCGTAACATTCTCCAGGGAGCAACAGCGAAGCTGCGATTCTAGACAAGGTACCCCTGAGCACAGTGCATGCCACCGAATGAGAGTTTTCTATTGTAGAGAAGGTGGAAGCCATTTAAAACTTTATCGCTCTTCTTGTTTCCCGACGCGTTGTCGAACGGCGTTTGATAACGACGTCCGGTTTCCACCTTCTCGGTCGAAATGCCCGATGATTGATGTAATGGATGTTTTTAGGAACGAAGTTGTTGCACGTAAGGAAAGTATTTGCATTTCACAAATCTCGTTGTGTACAGACTCCGCAGCAGTAGGCTGTTGCATGAGAGCAGACGATGTGAAATTGCACGCAAATACTTCAGCTTAGTGCGTTGGCAGCTCTCACTCGCTATCTAGTTTCAGTCGTTCATGCTCTGTTAGTCATCACTGAGGTTTCGCGCTGGTATTGTTGCAGGAGGATGACAAGGACAAGGAGAAACGAGAGAAGGAGCGAGAGTGCATGCGCGAGAGGAGACGGGAGCGAGAGCGAATCAAGGCGGTGGAGAGAGAGCGCTTTCTCGAGAAGGAGCGCGAGAAGCAGCGTATGCGGGACGAACACTCAGCGTCAAGGTCACGCTCAAGGTCACTGCCACGACGCCGTTCAAGGTCACGCGAGAGGTGAGTAACAGTTTTGGGCGGGTCGTCTTCAGCCAGCTGTGGATCATTAATTGGCCGAAATGCCAAACAATATTGTCCACAAACATTGACTTATTTCATTAGTTTGCAATTCATTTATGGTCTAGTAAGACTGTAAACATAGTATAGAAACATTGTGGCCTGAAAACTTGTGACGATGTGAACGTTTAGATACGTTTGATTAAGTTCCAGTCTGCTGTTGTCTCCTTTTCTTCTCCTGTGTTTGGAGTGGAAGCTATTCACAGACAGTTACCCAGACTGTGGTTTCCACATACAGGGTTCGTACGGGTCCTGGAAAACCAAGAATGTCCTGGAATTGTAGAATGGCATTTTCCTGGTCTACAAAGTCCTGGAAAATAATCTATTGTCTTTGAAAGTCGTGGAAAATGTGCTATTTACATGTTCTAAAAAGTCCTGGTACATGTCTGTTGTGTCCACATTATACCAATGATACTAACAAGTTACTATACTGAAGATAAAACCCTCTTTACTGGCTGACAAGCAATAAAATATACTTAAGGCAAGTGTTTGTTCACTGATTGTTAATCGGAAGACAGGCGGTGCAAAGATTCTGTTTAGTTTCAGTGTTGTGGTCTAGAAAATTGGACCTTCTTAGTCCTGGAAAAGTTTGAGAGAAATGTTTTGCCTTGTGTGTACGAACCCTGTACATACCAGGATTGTAGTTTACTATGAGTTGTGCAAGAAAATTGTATTAGACTAGTGTGGTTTCTTGCTAGAAGTGAATATAATCACACACGCACACTCACACAAGATTTTTATATCAGAATACTTATTAGCATTATTAAATGATAATGATTACCTTGTCTGTTCAGCACTGCGAATAAGAAACGTTCATATCATGCTTCACTAAATGAGGTAAAAAGACATCTTTTCTTCCAACCAGTTGGTTTTGCTGAAATTCAAAGAATTTTAAATTCAAATACATGTGTATTTTGCAGTGAATGTCACACGACGATGTTTTCTGCTTGATGTTTGATGTGTATATTTTTGTTCATAGAATCTTTAATATTTGATTTGTCATCAACAGAGCCAGACGTGACACAATTTCAAGGGAGAGGTCCAGTGGCAGATCTAGGTATGGTTTCAGCAATACTCTGCCTTCATTAAATGCTAAGCTTTTACGATCAAGTCTTAGGCCACAATTAAAAAAATATTTGTTTGCCCTCACCCGACCCAGGCTGAAAAGTTTCGGTAGGTGGGTAGGCTTTTTTCTTTTTTTGAGGGGGGTCT